AGCTAAAGATCATCTGTGCAGGCTCAAGTTGACTTGATAAGCATATGACTCCAGCAGTTGCAACTTTATCTATAGCCCAAGTTCAATGTGATTGGGTCCAGCAATTTTTCGGGCTAGTAAGCTTCTGTTCTTATCGCCAGATGCATAACTCAACATAATAATTAACTAGGCGCACGCACTTCACTCTCAAATGGTCAACTTTGGCGCCCATTAATCTTTAATAATTGCCCAAAATTGATGCCATGCGTATTTGAAAAGCCATTAAAATGACGCAGTAAACATTGATCTACAACAAAAAGAAGTCAAAAAAAAAAAAAAACGAGGAAAATGAATGCGACGAGCAGCGCCATTCATTGCGGCAGACAACTGAAAATATTTGTGGAGACAAATTTATGAACGTTTAGCACAAAAGTCAAGCACTCGAAGATAATGTTGTTGAGTAGAGCAACAAATTGCAGCTATCAATGCGGATGCCACGAATGCCGGAGCAGTCGAAGCAGTCGAAGCAGCCGAAGACGGAGACGCACAGATACCGCCGGAGCGCAGGCAAACAGAAGAAAGCAGCAGACAAATACGGACGGCCAAGGGAACATTTGTCGAATGTCTGATCTTTGGCGTTACTTGAAAATTTGCTCCTGTGTGGCTCTGAACGTACGTGGGCCCCTTTGTAACTCAATTCGAAAATAATTAACGATCGCGAGATTACAAATGTCAAACATAATGTCAAGTTGGGCTGCCGGCGTCTCACATTGGCTGTCACTGGGAAAATGCCAAGCGAAATGTTCAAAGACGGCAAACTGCACAGATACAGATACAGCAAGAGAAACCACCGAGCCTGAAGCTGAATGGACCAAACACTCCACAGCGGAACCACAACCAGACGGCAATGCGTGTGGGTCTGCGTCGAGCGCCAGCCGATTTGTTGTGACTTATGTCAAAACAATTGTGTGTATCTTGATGCGGTGCTGAATGCTGAGTGGATGCTTATGGCCGAGATTTGGGTAGGATAATAATGCTAAGGTGCACTCACTTGGCTTAACTCTTTCTTCGCAACATTTATATTAAATGCAACATTTGCAGCTGCAATTCATCAACCATTTACAATAGAGAAACAGTTTGCATCGTTGTCCAACAAATGTCGGACATCTTCGTGTCTTTTTCGTATACCAAATCCCATTAAGAAAATCGAAACTTAAATTACTTCATCAGCTAAATCCTTGATTAACGTCTAAGTACAGCTGGCGACGCTTCTTCTGCGGCCGGTGAAGGCGATGCAGAAGAAGCGGGAGGAGGAGGCGTAACCGTAACTGGTGCAACTTGGGCAGGGTTAGTCGTTGCGACAGGTGCAGCAGTTCCCCCATTAGGCGTGGGCGCAGCTACTGCAGGCAGAGTGGTTGCATTATTCGCCTGACCCACAATAACCGTGCAGTTGCGACAAATCACTGCAGAGTTAAGGCATATTAGTATTTAAGTCACAGAAAAGATCACTTGCTCCGCACAATACTCTTCCGAATCGCTATCATCGCTGTCGTAGTCCCCGAATATGCTCGATATCCAGTCATAGACGTCGTTCTTCTGCAAAGATATTTGAGTTGGTCGCGAGTCGGAGCTGGACTATCATTACATTACCGTTCTAGCCGAGCGTTCCGCCACAGGATATGCCTGCGTCGCCTGATAGGTGAGCGCGAGGCACAAATAGAGCCAAAAAGTAAGTTTTGTTCTGGCAGGCATCTTGAGTTTGACTGGCATGCGATGTGCGGGATCGAACCGCTTTTATAGAGCGCAGCGAGTTTATTGTTTCTCAAATGCGTCTGCTAACAATAAGCCAACTAAATAGCAATTGCTTTTATGATGCTGGGTTTTCACACTAGTCTAGCTAGATGTGTGCATCTAATGTAGTCAAGGCCTGGGCCACTGCGCTCAATGAAACTGAACTTTGTTGGCAGCGCTCTAGGTAGATTATTTATGCAGCTGCACGTTTCGCGTGGCCCATTTGTCTGGCGAATGGCCCCAGCGAAAAAAGTGATCGAAGTGCAATTGACAAGTGCGCAAATGCATATAGCCATAAAGTACATGAAATTCGATGCAGTCTGTTGCTGCCGCCTGCCCCAGCTCAGTTGGGGCAACAAGTGTCTGAAGGGTTTCCAATTTGGACTGTAACTCGAGTAGCTGCAACAGTCCCAACACAGTATTTTAATTATGGCAATGGTGAGCGCCTCGTTAAGCTACTAGCAACAATTTTCAGTTATGAATGAAAAGCAATCGAGGTCGATACACTTGTTTTCTGTTCTTCAGACGGCTGCACCTCCGCCTCCCCCCCCCCCCCCCCTCATTTGCTGCTTCTCTACGCGCTCAACTCTTCAGTTTTGTGGTCTTTGTTCGATTCCTTGCTTGCAACTTGCAACTTGCAACTTGTGGCGCGTGTAACTCGGCAGCCCTATTGTGATTTTTATGGCGCTCTTTGAGGCCTTTGCTGGCCCTGTACGTGTTCTTAGTTAAAGTTGCTTCATCTTGCCAATATTGTTGTTGTTGTTGTTGTTGTTGTTGTTGTGTAACATGAAGCTAACTACATGATTCTAAATTAGACGACGGCATGAGGCACAGATGTGCAAATTTTTTCAAATGACTGTAATAAATTGAAAGTGGCTTCGCAGCAGCTAGCAGAGCAGGTGATTCGACCAATTGCCAAAAGCCACCTTCATATAATTATCAACAAATATAATTAAACTAATTTATGTATATAATGTGATTTGCCTGCTGGCTATATATTATTAAATAGATTAAAAACTTATAGAAATTGAAAAAATATTTCTTTTTATTTCATCATATTTATTTAAGAAACTTCTCATAGTCTGGCTAAATTAATTTAAACTAAGAAATTGGAACTGTCTTCATTATTTTTGAAATCAAAGCAGCTGCCCCAAAAGCTAGAAGTGGCAGCCATAATTATATCCATATTTTGCCTCGTTTTAAGTATTGTATAACAAAATATTTAGCTAGGAGTTCGCATTTATAAGCTCTGATAAGTTTAGTTTCGTAGTTTCTCAATTAGTTCAAGTTTATATCGACAATCAATTGTCCAGATAGGTAAGCCCCGTACCGTTGGGACAGCTACAATCTAATCACTGCGCCAATATACAAAATGCATTTCCGCACGTTCGGCGCATTTATGTGGTTTCTTCTCCTTCCCGCAATCTTTGGAAAGATCCAAGCACTCAGAGTCACACAGACATATGCATAGACTTATACACCCACATCCGCAGTTCTGGGAAGCAAAGTGTAGCGATTTTCAGGCGAAGTAGAAGTCCATACACTTCGACCCGTTCCCGGCTTCCCAACCGGAGCTAATTAGACGCAAATGTGCTTTTGTTCGCCCTCTCATTAGCTGTTGTTGTTATTGCTTCAGCTTTCTCTGTTCGCACTCAGACACACTTACTCAATGGCCTGTGCTTCATCTCCTTTCAGAGTCGCAGTGCCCGCAGTACGGCGAGGTGAATCAGCTGGGCGGCGTCTTTGTGAACGGCCGGCCGCTGCCGAATGCGACGCGAATGCGCATCGTGGAGCTGGCTCGACTGGGCATCAGACCCTGCGACATCTCGCGCCAGCTGCGCGTGAGTCACGGCTGTGTTTCCAAGATACTGGCGCGCTACCATGAGACCGGCTCCATACTGCCGGGTGCCATTGGTGGCTCCAAGCCGCGCGTCACCACACCCAAGGTGGTCAACTACATACGCGAGCTGAAGCAGCGCGATCCGGGCATCTTTGCCTGGGAGATACGCGATCGGTTGCTCAGCGAAGGCATCTGCGACAAGACGAATGTGCCCAGCGTCAGCTCCATCTCGCGTATACTGCGCAACAAACTGGGCAGCATAGGTCATCACCATGGAGCTGGCAGCGCTGGCCCTGGTACCGCAGCCATCGGCATGGGCAGCAACGGCAACAGCAGCACCGGCGGCAACCCCAATGGAGCCAATGTCAACGCCGTTCAGCACACACACTCCGCGCACCAGCATCACTATCATCACCAGCATACGGCAGCCGCTGTGGCGGCCAGTGCACATCATGCGCACGCCCACGCCCATCTCTACAATTCCATATACCAGCCGTATAGTGCGGCAGCTGCCTATACCATGAAGGCCGTCTCCTGCGGCAGCCCCTCGCCGCCGCAGGCGGGGCAGACGCATCAGCTGCGCAGCGTGGCCGCCGCCCACTGGCCCTCGTCGCACTCAGTGACCGACATTCTGGCACATCACCAGGCCGTTGCCTTGCGCGCCAGCTGCCAGGGCAACACCGTGTCCCCGTTGCCCATGACGCCGTCGCCAGTGGGCGCCGCAAACGGTGGACAGCCGCTCCTGGACTGCGAGGGCGGGGCGGCACAGCAGCCGCCCTACAACTACTACATGTACTTTCAAAATGGCGGCATGCATCATCACCACCATCACGGAGGCATGATGACGGCCGGGGCAACCGGCTTATGAGGCAACGGCCCATCTTAGTTCCTCCCGGTTCGGTTATTGTGAGTTTGGACTGGTTTCGAATCGCGTCCAATTTATGTAAGTGCAGCTCGAATTGTTAGTCAGGCATGAGTGAAGGGTTTAACTACGATGTAGGATATATATGTATGATGTACCTACGTACATACATACACATATTTGATAAACATACGAAACTAGTTTAAGGCTCAGACTAAGGATCGCACTTGAATATCAAACTAACACTTAACAATTAATTCAGCCGAAATGCATTAGATTTCCGGAAATTATTGGATGAATGTTTTGGCCAAGGGATCTAGATAGTAGTTAAGCGTACTTCTGGTAGGTCATGTCAGCCTGCCACGACCTACGGCTCCGGGGAGCTCTCTGTTTCAACGAATTTGATGTATGTAATTCTGGAGATTTTCATTTGTTTTTCACATTTATAGCAACTTTTTGATTGTTTCACGAAAATAATAAAGTATTGAGTTGTGTTATAAAATGTAAAAACTTTATTATATATAGGTTTCGTTCTCATAATTATTTGTACATTATGCTCTTTAAGTAAATTCTAGGTGACTATTTATGCCATAAATCTTAAAGAAAAATTTAAAAATAATAAAAATAAATTTGTTTTTTAGCTAAATAATGTCGATTTGTAATAACTATGCGGTAAAGAAGGCTGACAAGATATATGCTCTGATTGAAGGTAGAACTTACCTCAATCCAAATCTACTTGCAATCAGTAATTGTCAAGCTTTTTCAGAGTATATGCGTACATTAGTATTGTTTGGAATTAAACGTTTAATTTAATACCAGTTTAATAGGCCAAGATTGTGAGCTTAGGTTTAAGGGGTCCAGATTAGGGACAACAGTCGCTGTCCTGCGGATCTTTCTTGACCCAACCGAAGAAGAAGTAGCCAAAGGCCAGACCCAGAATCACGGACAAGCACAGCCAATAGTTGAAGTTCATGAAGACCAACATGAGCAAGTACGAGATGATAATCTGCACGAAGTTCAATAGGGACTGGATCACGTGCGGCATGTTGAAGATGCGCTCCCAGTATGTCTTATCCCTGATTTCGGCCAGTGGCGTTTCCGAGCAGCCGGCACCGCAGTCGTTCAAATTCTTCCGGCGCTGCTCAGCGGCCAATTGCTCAGCCTCCCTGCGTGCATCACGGCGAGCCAGCTGTACGCGTAGGAATTTCAGCAGCTCGTAGAGAAAGGACATCACAAAGAAGGCAATGCACGAGAAGGCGAACTCGGTAACGGTGTATGCCACCCAGCTACGCCACAGAATTCTCTCACAGTGGCCACCGTGGAACTGTGGGAGAGAAAGAGATGCATATATTGAGCACACAAGTTGACTACAGGGTGACACAGGTAAAGTCAATGACATATGTGACTACTGCATAACATACATTATTATCGCTAGAGCACCCGGTATTTCCTAATGTGTGTGTCTTGCTCAACAAACAAGCTCACAGGCAGACGAGTATGAACAGAGCGTAAATTGTTGCTGGGGCGAGAGTGTGAGAGAGTGAGAGCGAGCTAAAATTAAGCATCGCTGCTAAACGGTTGTGATTGCATGCGTGTGTGTGTGTGAGAGAGTGCGAGATGTGCTCTGAGCAAAATCTGGCAGATCACATATAAATTTAATGCGAATCAAATTAAATTAAATCTGAGCGCTCTCTGGGCTGCAAAGAATTTCGAATGCTAGCGAATAAATAAATATGTACGTGTGTATATAAGCGACGTGTTGCCATAAGAGATGCAGTTGCAGGCGCAGTTGCAGTGAGTGTAGTTGAAGTTAGTTTATTATGAAACTTACCACCATGATCATGGGACAGGTTTTGGCAGCGGCAACAGTACCATGATCATCACCATGATCCATTGTCATCAGATCCATTGTGATTGGATTTTGCAATTAATTCAATTGGACGCAAAGTGAAACAAAACGTTGAATGCCTAAGCTAGTGATAACCGCGTAGACACTTGCTTAACTGCTGAGAGCGGGGCGTTGACTGCTTGGAACAATCGAACGTATGCTGTTTTTTAAAGAAAACCTGACACTAATCCCGTCAAGGCGTTACTCGATACGCTTATCTCTGAGAAATGTGTGTGTTATCAGCAAGCAGCGGAGTGCAGGCGGCATATCATGTACGATGGCCCACACTCGAGCAGAGCCCAGCTATGTTGACACCATTCAGTAGCCCAGAAGGTGACAGGTGTGTGGGAGAGAGAGCAATAGAAGCGGGAGCAACAGAGAGACAGCGAGAGAGGGAGAGGCACATAGGGAGAGCAGATACATGCGAATGAATGCCCATCTATATGGTAATCAGTTAGAGATCTGCATGCTGTGCATTTGGCTATAATCGTCATCATGGTCATATACTTGGTAATCGTCAAGTTTTATTATTCTTGGTGAAATACAACTTATAGACTGATATATGGATTTGCTAAAGTTCAATTTATGTGGCTTTTAAGATTATTGTTAATTGGTCAAAGTATTTGTTTTATTGTACTCAGGTTGGTAACTATGGTTCCATTCCTCCTAATTTGTCAATTCAGCTCGTGCGATAGCAACCGTCGATGAGCGTATTTGCTCGGTGTCTGCATTAGCCCCACTTGGCTTTGCAAATGTTTTGTTCCTAACTGCTGCTTACCTGCTATTCAGTAATGGCGGCGTACATAAAAAATTCTACGGTCGTGTGCAAAAGTTACGGTTATTCTTTGCCGTGTGCAGATTTCGAAAGATTGGTGCCGTCTGCAAAAAACGGTAAACGATATTAGCTTGATCTAAATGGTTCGGTCATTCGATGGCAAAAATGGTAAAAGCTATTTCCCAAAATTTCCCCAAGAAACTGAAACAAAAAACATAGACTGATTCTGCTAAATATATTTTATTTATTAAACTTTTGGTTTACATTAACTTTACAGTGTTTTAGACCTATTGTAAAAATATATATATATATCAGCATAATAATATATATTTACTATGTATCATATAAGTAGATTATATATCAGAAGGCAACTGTTGCTGCAATGATGGGGAGATGATACAAAAATGTTCCTAGATTTTTATGTGGTAAATATTTTTAAATTTATTATGGCCAACAATACTATACTATATAGGAAAATAAATAGAATTTTAATTTTCACGCGCTTTACGAAATACGTTAACAGTCCTATATTTGAAAATTTGACTAACTTTATTTGTATAAGCTAATTTAGGGACTTTTATTAGTTGATGTGGCAGCACGGTCAAATAGGCAATAGTCTGGCATCATCGTGTCTAAAACAGGGAAATATTTTAAACCGTTGTATTTATTTTATGATGGCAATTTTTGGGTAAGTTTGATAGAAAATGTATATTTTAAAAAGTGTGATATTGATATTAGGTTTTTGCTAATTACTAAATATAAACAGTGGCTAATATTCCGTGTAAGTCGTATCGATAACATAAATATTGCTGGTATCGTACATGAATGAATTTGAAATAACGATATATCGATTATATATTACCCATAAGCTAAGGCGCAGAGGAGTGAAAGAAGTTCTTGCCATTTATTACATGCTAAGTGGTTCCGCGGTAGATAGAATCTGATTGCATACATCAATGTGTTCAAGATTCCAATAAGTTAGTCACTAAATATAGCATTAATATGTTTGCGTTACGACACTTGCGACTACAGGGTAGGTCCAAAATTAATTTGTCGTATACTGCAACAACAGCAGCAGCAACAACGAAAACTACAAAACACATGCCAGCTGTGCCGGCGCGTGTCTATGTGGGTCTGCATACATACACCAGCGAATACAGTAAGCCAAGATTGTTGATGCTACAAGAGCATATGACAAATTGGAGGCTACACCAAAGAACCACGACTACGCTGTCGGAACCTTCAAACCAGGAGAAGAAGACGCCGCATAAAGCAACACTTTTACAGGAACTGGCTGATGCCACTAAGCCATACGCACAGCTGATGCGTATTGACCGGCCTATTGGAACGTATTTGCTCTTCTGGCCTTGCGGCTGGAGCATTGCTCTGAGTGCAGATGCCGGCTGTTGGCCAGATTTTACGATGCTTGGTCTATTTGCCACAGGCGCGTTAATTATGCGCGGCGCAGGCTGCACCATCAACGACATGTGGGACAAAGACATCGATGCTAAGGTGGAAAGAACGCGCACACGACCACTGGCCTCTGGACAGATTACGCAATTCGATGCAATAGTATTTCTCTCGGCGCAGCTTAGCTTGGGTCTACTAGTGCTTGTGCAACTAAACTGGCAATCTATACTGCTGGGCGCCAGCTCGCTTGGACTGGTCATTACGTACCCACTAATGAAGCGTGTCACATACTGGCCGCAGCTCGTGCTCGGCATGTGCTTCAACTGGGGCGCATTGCTTGGCTGGTGTGCCACCCAAGGCAGCGTCAATCTGCAAGCCTGTCTGCCTCTTTACCTGTCTGGTGTGTGCTGGACCATTGTGTATGACACCATCTATGCCCACCAGGACAAGCTGGACGACTTGCAAATTGGTGTCAAGTCCACAGCGCTACGGTTTGGAGAGAATACCAAAGTTTGGCTTTCGGGATTTACAGCAGCTATGCTAGCGGGTCTGACGTCTGCAGGCTATGCCTGTGATCAGACCCTGCCCTATTATGCTGCAGTTGGCATCGTTGGAGCGCACTTGGTGCAGCAGGTGAGCATGCTCTGGAGCTCATAGAATAACGATTCTGTAATCAACAACTACCTTACAGATCTACTCACTGAACATAGACAATCCCAGTGACTGCGCCAAGAAGTTTCTTTCCAATCAGCAGGTGGGCCTAATTCTATTTCTGGGCATTGTACTGGGCACTCTGCTGAAGTCAGATGATACCAAGAAACAGAGTACAGCGTCAACAGCATCTGTGACAGCTCCATCATATGTACCTTTGTCACAATCAAAGCAGGATGTACTGAGCTGAGCGCTTGTAAGGCTCTGGTTTTCATTTAATTTTCACCTTTCATTTGCGGGTTCGCGCTAGACCAAAGTCTGTACATAGCTAAATAGTTTAATTATTGTATGGTTACATTTTTTAGAAATTTTAATGGTATTTAATGAAAATTGTTGACATTCAAAAATCGCCTCGGGGAAGTCTAATCATTCGTTTTTAGACTTGTCGGCATTCAAACATTGCAAACAAACTGGTTTCTGTATTAAATTCTTAATTGTTATTAATTACATATACAGATTATATTTGTGTGTTGTAAGTGAAATACGCTTTTTATGTATTCATTTCATTTGTTGTTTTCGCTACAGCTAAGAAGATTGTTGCCGTTGTACAAATGTTAAATAAACTAGGGTTAAGAGTGGGATATTAGATTAAATCTGCCACATTCATGGGCATTTCGTCTATTTGCGTCGAGTAATATTGCTCAATATCACGCAAAATGCGTATATCATCGGATTTCACAAAGTTAATGGCAACACCCTTGCGTCCAAAGCGGCCCGATCGACCGATACGGTGAATGTACAGTTCACGATTGTTTGGCAAGTCGTAATTGATGACTAAAGACACTTGCTGCACGTCTATGCCACGCGCCCACACATCGGTGGTAATGAGGACACGGGACTGGCCAGCACGGAACTCTTTCATGATCTCGTCACGCTCCTTTTGTGGCATATCGCCATGCATTGAGCTGACCGTGAAGTTGGCCTCGCGCATTTTCTCAGTCAGCCAATCAACCTTGCGCTTAGTGTTACAGAAAATGACCGCCTGTGTGATGGTCAGTGTATCATAGAGATCGCATAATGTGTCGAACTTCCACTCCTCTCGCTCTACGGCAACGAAGAATTGTTTAATGCCCTCCAGCGTCAGTTCATCACTGCAAAGCGGTATTATGTGATTTTTTTTTATCAAAATTAAGAATGCTTTTATTTGCTTACCGCTTGACCAAAATTCGAATTGGATCCGTCATGAATTTGGAAGTCATTTCCAGAATCTCATGTGGCAATGTAGCAGAAATGAGCACAACCTGCGTAGCTGGCGGCAAATACCGATAAACATCATAGATTTGTTCCTTGAAACCCTTGTTCAACATCTCATCTGCCTCATCGAGCACCAGCATTTTGATGGCTCTACAGAATGTAAATAAAATACATATTAGATAAAGATAATTAATAATATTGTATAACTAACTAACCTTGTACGGAGAACACGCCGTTTGATCATATCGAAAACACGACCTGGTGTACCACTAACTATATGCTGACCGTAATCTAACTTTCGTATGTCCTCGCCCAAGTTTGTACCACCAATGCACACATGACACTGAACATTCATCATATCGCCTAGGGCCAAAATAACCTTCTGAATTTGGACAGCCAACTCGCGTGTTGGGGACAGGCACAGAACTTGTGTCTCACGCAATGTTGTGTCCAGGCTTTGTAGGATGGAAATTGAAAATGTAGCAGTCTTGCCTGTACCCGATTGCGCTTGAGCAATGACATCGCGTCCTTTCACAATTGGCTTGATGCTGCGCTGTTGTATAGCCGATGGTTTTTCAAAGCCTACATGGATATTGGGATTTAAAATAAGCCGTAATTTTTGCATACACACAAGCACTTACCGTACGCGTAAATGCCGCGTAGCAGCTCTTCCTTTAGGTTCATGGCATTGAAGGTGGGTATCACCTCGACATCTTCGCTAGTCTCAAACTCTACATTCGAGAGATCCTCGGCCTGTGCATTTTTGCGCGCCATTTTCGTCTTGAGTGTGATTAATTAGTTTGCAATAATATTTTTACCAAGAGCTACACAAATTTTCTAAATATTTTTTCAACAACTTTCATGCGGCTTGGGGATGGAAAATTGATACTATCGATATCGATAGTGAAGCGTCGATATATCGATAATTATTGTAAGCAGCCCTTTTAGAGTTGCCTTTAGTACGCATATTTTTTTATTTCCTTAGACGCGCGTTGCGTTATTTCAAATTAATTCAAATCGAGCGTAAGTTTGTCCATAATATTAAACGAAAGAGATTTGTTGATATACAACAATTGATCATGACCCTCTGAAGTTTTTATAAAATATATCAACATATTCAATATAAAATAAAATTATCAATGAAATCCTGAAATCTTATATTTTGATAAATCTTTTAAATATCCGCTGGATTGATTTTAGGTGCTTTTCCTTAAGTTTCTTTACTTTTCTGAATATATTTTGTACAGTTTCTACTCGCTGAGTGGCCTCCACAGCCGCATTCTCCGCCTTCTGGGCAATTTTTTCAGTTTGGGAAAGATCTTTTTGAGCTTTTTCCATGCAGTTCTGCAATTGTTGCACTTGCTTCTTAACATCAGTCACCATCGTATATTTCTCCTGTTTTTCACTTTCGCCATAGGCCGCAATTTCCTTCAATTTCTCTACATTCAACTTTGAATTGTCTAGAAAGCAATGCAATAACTCTAGATGATTTTTAATGTTTGCGGCAACGCGGATAGTTGTTTCTATGTTGCTTCGGCTACGAGCCAGTGCTTTTTTCACCTCTTCAATAATAGCATCCATCTCTGACTGACTCTGCTCCAGCTGCTCGAGTAGCTGCTTCTTGCCATTTAGAGCTGCTTCAGCCGCCCGAGCGGCTTGCTCAGCCCTGTTGGCCAATCGGTCCATTGCGCGTTGACCGGCCTCTTCACCTGCGTACTTCTGTGCATCTTTGGCTGCCTTAGCTTCATCCGCTGCAAGCGCTGCCATTTTTGTGGACGTCAGGCTGAGCTGACAGTTGGCCTTTTGTGACGGTTTTGTACCTTGTTTACGACAGGATGGTTTCTGTTTGTAGTGTGCACTGCTCACCAGTACGATGCTCATTAGACATATCAACACCAGGGGGTCCCAATGCATTGAAAATGTATCATCTTACATAAATCTCCAGGCTCGCCTGTCAGCGTCCATTTTTGAAACACAAAATATCCGTTGTAAGTCGAACCTGCTTCTGAAATTATGTATAATGGCTGTTAAGGCTGTGTTATTAGCTCTCATTCTCCTGAGTCCTCTTGCTCTTGGTTACAAGCTTGGTATGGTAAATGCTTTAAAGCTACTCTCAGAAGGTTGATAATGTGAAAAAGTTGTGTCTGTCTCAGAAAGTTCCATCGACTTGTCCAGCTCAGTCTACGATGCGGGGCACAATGAAGCTTCGGAAGACTGTAAGAAAGAGGAGGGTTGCAACATAAAGCTGTCTCACAATGTGGCCACGGGGCAGAAGGCGTCCTGCATTGCTATGAAAGCGGCACAAGAAGCGAAGGCTGCATCTGATGCCCAATTGCCTGCCGCGGAAAGTGCTGCTCTTCAGGTTAAGATTCAATTGGCAGACAAAGCGTTGGCAGCAGCAAACGCTGCAGATGCAGCTCTGGCGGGCAAATTTCAAATCGTTGAGCAACTAGACTCGGAGGTGCGTGAAGGTGAGCTTGTCGTGGAAGAAGAGACCAGCTTGTTGCAAGCATCGCAACTCAACTGCAAAGCAGCCTCGCAGGCGGCGAGAGAGGCCGGTCTACAGCTAAAGACCCTCGGCGAGGCTGTAAAGAATGCTGAAGCAAATGTGATGAACTCGGGGCAGGCTGCCAGGGGCGTTCAGCAGGAGCTGAGCGAGAAACAGCAGCTTGTTGACGCGGCTAAAAAGCGCGTTGAACTGCTCCTCCAACAGCTCGATGCAGCGCGAACTGATTTCAAAACTACACAAAAGGCTGCGGAACGTGCCGCATGCGCCGCCCAGGAAGCCAGGCAGCGCGCATCTCGTGAGCGTCGCAAAGCTGAAATACGCATGAAACTGCGTCAGCATATGCAACAGTAAATCATGTTAAAAGATCCTTTTATTATATATTTTTATATTTAGATTTTATTAAAATTACTTTCCGTAGGAAAGCCTTTTTATTATACATTTACATTTGTATATCGATTTGCAATTGAATTAGATAAATGAACAGTATAAATCCTACTCATCAATTGGGAGACAGTCATACAGCTAGATTCTTGCCAGGGAAAGCGTGCTAGTGCTCGTCATGCTCACACAATCACCTGTACAGGTGCCTGTGTCCAGCGAGTCCACCGATTGCGACAGATTATCAGCAGCATGTGGCAAAAGCTCCAGACTGAGAGCATGGGTATTGTAGCAGAGCACCAACTTGGTATTGAGTCCTTCGAAAATGCTGACAACACTCGGCTTAAGATTGAAGAAGATGATCTTTTGATGACGTCTCTGGAAATCCTCCACCATGGAAGATATCACTTTAGCGGCTGTGAAGTCGGCAGCAAAAATGTAGGTGCAGTCGATGACAATGGGCAGCGTGGTTCTACTGCCGGACTTGAGCACCATATTCCGCACGAACTCGACTGAAGGAAATATCAAGCAGCGATCGGGCGTAATCTTTATAAACTTAATGCCATGTTCCGTCTCCAGTTGCTCCAGCGTTACCCTAGGCCGCGCCGCATGGTAGAGTATGTAAAGCTGATTGGCTCCAATAGCCACAACAATGCCAATTTCCAGGGGAAGTACGAGGCAGGTGATGAACGCCAGCAGACCAGGTACAAGATCAGAGCCTGCAATTTAAGAAATCATAAATAAATCTCAGACTAAACAGACACAGGAATTCTAGACTATAGCTCACGTTTGCTGCGCCACATAGGTCCTACGATTTGATACTGTACTTGGAAGACTACGGCCGATATGATGATAGCAGCGAGGACAGCTTTCGGTATAAAGTAAAAGTACTCGGTGAGGTAACTGATCGATAGCATCACGATGATGCCAATATAAAGATTGGACATGTTGGTGCGACAGCCGCTGGCATTGTTGACGGCAGAGCGCGCCAGACCACCGTTGCTTCGGTAGCCACTCATCAGTGAGGTGGCCATATTAGCCACGCCGGTGGCAAACAGTTCCTGGCTGACATCGATTTGTTTGTCCTTGGCAAATGCCTTGCAGACAGACACGTTCTCCAGCAGCGCTATGATCGGTACTATAACCAGGCCAAAGCCTAGACTATGTACCATTTCGAAAAAGCTTTGGCCGGGAACAGGGGATATGCCAGCTGTAGCATTTCCCGGCTGCGCCTCGACCGTGAAATTGGGCAGTGAAATGGTTGGCAAGCCTGGTGGTATGTAGCCTGTCAAGCGAAACGGATTCATGTTGTTAGCCTCCAGATACATGGCCACCAAAGTGGCGCCAATGACAACAGTGGCATTGCGGGTGACGCCCACAAATTTGATTGTCTCGTTGAGCACACGCTGCACCTGACTACGTTCGCACTTTTCCTTTGGACCAATGCGTAGTTTGCTGAGGCTGCGTATGCCCAGCAGGAGTATTAAGCAGCCAAAGCCCAGACAGCTGTCCCAAATGCGAAAGTTTTCCAAGTCACGGAACATGCTAATCCAGCTTTGCAGAAACGAGCCACCTTCACTGTTTACACCCAAAATGTACTTCATCTGGGATGTAAGCACGATTAGGGAGACGGCACTGGTAAAGCCCGCGCTCACCGGACCCGACACAAACTCCACCAAAGCGCCAAGCTTGAAGATGGCCATCAGAATTTCAATAAAGCCAGTGAGAAAAGTGAGCAGCACAGAATGCGCCCAGGAGCCCTGTGCGAACTGATATGTCATAAGTGAGGCCACGGCGGTACTGCCAATGGTATTATCCTTGCAGGTCCCCAACAGAACGTACACAAAGCAGCCCAAGAAGGAGCCATAAAGACCAGACTCCGCGGGCAAGCCCACCACGCCCGAGTATGCCAATCCCTGCGGTATGACCGTTAGTCCCACTGTAAATCCGGCTATAAGATCGCCAATGGCATCCTTCCTGTTGTACTTGGGTAGCCACTCAATTATGGGTAGCCGCTTCTTAAGCGTCTTCATGCGACATGCATTTCTCGCATAGCTCATGCAACACGAAGGCGCTGCTTCATTGTCCAGCTTGGCCGCCTCCAATTGCTCGAGGCTCTTGCTTTTGGAGGTGCGATGATCTGTGATTAGTATGCAATCCGTTGAGGAACTTCGAAACTGCGCCTCCAGATTCTGACTCACTTCCGCGCGCTTACGGAAGGTCACCTCAGTCTCAAGTGTGGACATTGTGATATCACTTCTATTCGATAATGTGTAAATCCGGTAGCTCCCTCCGGTTGCTAGCTAGGCTGTGTAGCGACTGAATGATAGCGCCGGATGCTGGGTGGCTAAAACACGATCTTATCGAAGCCGCCTCTGTTTACCCTGTCGAAAAATGTGGAAACGGGACGCCAGTTGTTTGTTTCAGCCACACGACCTGCTCTTGTTTGGCTTGCCATTATCGACCAAATCAACTGGCACAGGTGTCGTCGGTGTTATAAACTTTTCCATGCATCAATTGTAGACTGAATACCAATGACAAATTCAGCGTGTAAATATACACCTAATTCCATACCTTAGAGGAATATTGACATTTATAGGATGAGGACATAATAAATTAATTTGACACAATTTTTTTTTTTTTTTTTGGTTTTTATTTAATTTTAATGTTTTTTTTTCATGATTTTTAAAAATTGTATTTTAAAAGCATCGCATTAGATCATATAAAGTAAGATATATCATTACAATATACAATTGTATCCGTTTGTTTTTATGCGTATTTAAAATTAAAATTGTAATATTATGTTTAGGCAATTTTATAATTCAATAGCAGTAAATTGTTTCAGAGACCATGGCTATATGTATATGTATCATATATAATTATGTGTATATATATATAAGTATATGTACTCGTATGTATGTATGTGTATGCATGTAAATATTTATAAGCTCAAGCAAGTTCCATGTGCACACTTTACAACTAAACGAAATAAAACAAAATTAAATTTTGAATTTGACAGAATTAAAACGAAATATCGTTAAAAAAATTACAATTTGAAAAATGGGCACGTGTGAAGCTGCAGCGTAAATATCTGAACGATCCAAAATAGATGTTTGCTTAAGGAAAGATTTTTGTTAAGGTTACAACTCGATACAATTAAGCTGCTGATAATTGTAAATTTCAACAATGCCAATATCTAGATAACATTAATTTAAACATTTCTGTGTATGTGTGCATGTGTGTGTGTGTGTGTGTGTGTTCGACAACAAACATTTGCATAACTCAAATAACTAACAAATGATTAGGTATATGATAAATGAACACAAAGCCCATAATGTGGACAAAAAAAAAACTGTAAATTAAATTAATTTTTATAGAACGCAACAAACATTGAAACAAACGAAATTGAGCAACCAGCGAGTGGCACAACTCTTGAAGAACAGCAACAACAATTAGCACTATTAACTACATAATCAGACGCATATATGTATAGTTGATATAAGCATGTATATCATGTATACATATATGAGTTTATAATAGGGCTGTCAGAACGTCTCGGTGCCTACGGCCAAACGCCAATCGTATAGTTCCTGCTCAGATGACCCATGCGCCGCTGCCGACCAACTGCAAAATATATAGTTATAAATTGGGATTAGTTACCATTCTTAAAATGATCTTAAAGAAGAGACGTGTTGTTAAGAGACGTAACACCAAAAGCGGACCAAAAAAGTTGTTATAAATGTATAAATAAATCGTTGCATGACGCATGATACAGTTGCAGCTGATATCAAGTGTCAACATTAGGTTTATATATTATCTAAAGCCATATTGAAGATGTAGCCTATGCTCGACTTATGATCTGCTAAGCTGAGATATAAATATTTACTAAATTACTTATCGACTATATATGCGTTAGAAATAACACCTTTATAGCAAGAGCGTCTAGCTTAAAGATACATATATGATATATCTATCAGATACTTTACGTACTGCATGTTAACATCATTCTTCGGTGTTAGTTTTGCGGCTGGTTGTTGGGTGTGGGTCGGTTTAGGTGATATTGTAGTTGTTGTTGCTGTTGTTGGTGGTGGTGGTGGTGGTGTTGTTGTTGGTGTTGCGGTTACACAGAGTTACAAAAGGGGGAAATCACACGATGTTCAGTTGAACACACAGAAGTTGACGCACTTTATCTTTTGTTGTTGTTGCTGTTGCTATTGTTCTTGGTCTTGTTTTTGTTCTCGCATCAGGTGTTGTTGTTGTTGCTGGTTCTTGTTAATTTCGTACATAATTGGACAATAAAACAATTCACAAGACACACGCTCACACACAAAAAGGTTGTTGCTGATGTTGTTGATTGGTTGGTTGCTTGGTTGCTTGGTTGGTTGTGGCATGTTTTGTCTTTTTATTTACGCTGATTGAGGCGGTTCACACGTACTGTAAGACAAAGAGAAAGATAGAGAGGAAACATTGGGAGAGAGAGAAGAGACAAATACAATGTGATTAGTTAAATTGTAACATTGAACAGAGGAATAACAAATTATTTTAGTTGGGGTTAATCAAAATATACAACAAATTGTCAAAAACTCAATCAATCAATCAATCAATAATTTTGGGTACAGCATTCAAGGCTAGGCGTACAAGGCGTACGCCCATTGGACTTATATTTTAGTAGTCGGCATAAAAAGTAGCTTGCAAATCACGAAAAGTATGAGCAAGGAGCTACGTTTTAATTGGGGCTGGTTTAAGCAGAACTCGGGATGGGATTTAGATTAGTTGGGTTTGTTTATGTTAACGTTGGCTGTTAAGCGTTTGTTTACTTTTCTTATTCTATATTTGTGGCACAAACAACAAGGAACTGAGTAAAAGATTTGGATACCAACTGTTCGACATGGCTTTGCGCTGAGAGTTATGCTAGATGGATTTACAAGTGGTTTCTTGTTTGGCTCTATTGTCGTTGTTGCTGTTGTTCGTGTGATGCTGCCTTTGATGTTGCAAGTTGAATTATAAAAAGAGCTTAGACATTTTGGTCTACGGCATTTTTGTAGCAGTAATTCTGGCTATATTTTACTTTTTAATAGGTTTTGCTTTTAGTTTTATATTGCAGTTATCTGAGGTTGTTATTTTATTTATTTGTGTTTTTAGTTTCACTTAAAAATTGTACATCGCAGTTTAATTCCTATACGAAGAGAAGTTTATTAGAGTTCTGTAAGTTTGACAGCAACTGTTTTTTGGGTTTAGTAAAGGCCAATGGGATGAGTTTTAGGGTGTGGTCAGGAGTTGTGAGCGTGTCATGCAGCATGGGAGAGAGGTAACATGCAACTTATATTAATATTTTCATTCAAGGATGCATGATGGAGCAAACAAACAACGCTTTTGGGCAGCACAAAAAGATCAGTACGCTTAACAGTCTTGAGTTATGATTGTTTTTCTTTTCTTTTGCAGGTCAGTAGGACCTCATAATTTTTGCTTATTAATATGCATATATGGCTACGTATATGGCGCAGCATTCAAGTTCGAAAATGCTTTCGGTGTTAGACGCGTTTTGTGATTATAAAAAGAAACATTTTACGTAGAATTCGTGTTCATAGATACCTGTGTTAGAGATTAGACAAAATTATACACATTACGTCTAAAGATTTTTGCTGGGGTTAGATGCCTTGACTTTTGTCGTTAATCAGTTTCAAATATATCTTCTCTCTATATATGCTTGTATCGTAGATATATTTACATATTTGTATGTATCAGTTGTTCGTTCTGCGCATTATAAATATGTGTATATGTATATGTATGTGTGTGTATATATATATGTATATAATTTATATATTATTTACTTCTTGGTCTCTAACGTATTTAGATGCCAGCGTTGCAGCAACTGCTTCTTTCTTTTCTTTTTATATATTGTTTACACGTTTAATTTACATCAATTAAACTTGTTGTTTTTTATTCGTTTTTTCTTTTTAATTTTTAATTTACAAAACTCATTAAAAATGTTTAGTTTAGTTGCTTGATTTGATTTTTTAGCTTTTCTTATTTTTGTTTCTTTTTGATTTTTGGGTTTTATTGAATTCTTGTTGACTTTCTATGCAGATTATTGAAAAATCTGAACTGCAGGCGTAATTCAAGATCTTTTCTTACTGTAAACGAGAAACAGAGACACAGAGATAGAAAGAAATAGAACACAAATGAGAATAGACGAAACACATAAGAAACAATGTAAAGCGCATTGCTGAGTCGAGAATCTTGAATTTGGACTGTTTGAGATAGGGTAATTGCTGGTCTGTCACATGTCAACAAGGGGGTAGAGCACAAAGAGTAGACTGAGTTGGGGTAAACAAGATACAAAAACTGGTGGTCTGCTCCCAGAGACTTTACTGGGTCATTTTTGGGGTGTTAGTAGCGCATAGCTAATGCTGATGGATGGACGTGTCCCAGTTATATACAAAATGAATCAAAATGCATGAAAAGGCGCTGCTGATAACGACGACATCGATCAGGTATAGATAGATTTACATTTGTATTTTTCGTATTGGGTTGAGTTTGAGTTTTATATACACGTTCTTGGTCTGCAAGACGTTGAGAGCTGGATCTGGTAATGGACAGAACGAGCCCTTCTTCACACCATGGCCAAAACACAAAATGTTGGTGGATCAAGAAGCTACAACAACAACGTTACTACGAAACGAGGTGAAGCGAGGTGAGAGAACGAGAGTTGATCGAGTGGCGGCTGTTTGACTGTCTGTACATTTTGGCTGTGTCTGGGCGAACTCCGCTCCGGTGTGCTTGTTGGTGGTGGTGGTGTTTTCTGTTGGGTGTTGCTTGGTGGCTTCACTCACGTGTGCGCTTGGTAGACGCCCTCGTCGTCATAGTTGGGCGTCGCGGCCCGACTGCCGGGCACCACCATATTATCAGGATCGATCTCTGGATCGTAGGCATCACCGCCGCCGCCGCTTATGACCATGTTATCGGGATCGACCTCCACATCATAATCGATCGGTGGCTGTGGCGATGGTGAGGGCGATGGCGACGGCGAGGGCGTTGCCGACTGAGCCAGATCACGTTCAATCTCCATGTTGCTGGGCAATATCAGTTTGGGCAAGTTGGGTTTAAGTTTTTGCACCCGGAAGACTGAAGATCGTTTCGAGTTTTGTATTTTGTTGATTGGTAGCGGTAGTTAAATATACACATAGGACAAGTTGAGTTGTGGGATACAGTTTGATAGTTGTGGGATTTAAATATAATATATAACAAATAATTGATTAATAATGGTTTATATAGAATCGTATTGTATACAAGTTGTCAGACATTCTATGGTATATACAAGACACAACGATTGTTCACTGGCACTAACGAGGAAGACACAATACAGAGGAGTTATTGATAGGGGCTACTACACAAACAGACATATGTAATAGGGCAGTAGAAATAGCAAAATGTTCATGTGAAGAATGATATTCCCGTAAAGCTCACTTAGTATGTATAACTGACTTAGCGAAACTCGATAAACTATGTATAATTATGTAAATATATTAAATTAGACCTACTGATGATAAGTTTTCATCGTTGATGATAAGTTTTGATCGTAATGAATGAGTGAATGTAATCTTAAATAAGCTTGACTTAGGCATATGTATCTAGATTTTTGGACACGTAGTGACGCAACGAATAACGCAACGCAACGGAAAACGCAACGTAACGAGAGGTGAAAACGAGAACGAGAACGATAACGATAACATGAACGCAACGAACGCTGAGTGGTGAGAGATGTGCTGATGTATTAGGCATAACGACTGGGCTATAAAGAGATGCCAAAGACGTCGGGTGGGTTCTCGAAACGATAACATTTTACCTGGTTACCACAAGAAAGAAACAGAGAGAAGGGAAAGTATATCAACTACTTTTTGGTTACCAACGCGTTTTGGGTACTGAACAAGGATATCCAAGCTTAGATTTGCTTTTCGTTCGCAGAGCGCAAGAGGCTCAGCGCAGCACTGGATGTGGAGGCTTCGGCTGCGTTTCCAATTGTGGTTGATGTGCCTGTTATTGAAGTCAACTGCAAATTGCGCGCAATGCGCCCTGATGGCAAGACATGAGCAGAATCGGATGCATTAGTCCAAGTGCGAGCCTTCACAAACTGCTCGAAAGCAGCCAAACTCTTTGCCTTTGAGTGTGATATGGCTGCTGATGAGCGAGATGCAGATGCAGATGCTGATGCAGGTGTAAATGCTGATGCAGATGGGGATGATTGTGGCGAAGCGTCGGCGTGGAAAGCTAACGTACCTTGTTGCAATTCACCTAAACGCGAGTAAGGTATACACGAGTTGTACGTGAATAAAGGCCTAAATATTATATAAATAATTTCAAAGGGATCGCGAGCCTAACGAGCGAAGTTGCAAACGCAGAACCAACGCTGAAAACCTGCAACAATTGCGTGGGGAGAACGTGATGCCAATGGCAACGACCAACTTACTTCTGTCGATGTTGCGCTGCAGATGGGCGGCCACGCGATGACGCGCATCGTTGAACTCCAGGTGCAAGCCAAGTCGCAGTAACGATGGGTTCTTCTCCACCAAATTAGTGATCTCCATTTCAATCTTGTTTCCAAGCACCGCGGATCGCTGTATACAGTACAAAATCGGTTTTAGTTCTTGATCTGCTGAACTGCTAAAGCGCATTCGCCTCATACCTGATTGGAGGCCCTGAACTCCTCGATGGTGTGACATTTGAGCAGAGCTTGCACTAGTCTGACAATTACGGGCGGACTGAGAAAGTTGGTTTCAACATTTAATACTCTCAGGGTTTTGCTTTTCTCGATAGCTTCGGCGAGCAGGAGAGCTGTCTTATCGGTCAGTCCGACGTTCGTCAGCGATAGAACTTCCAAATGTTCATTCTGAGGCAGTGCGTCAAAAAGTTGTTCGAGCTTCTCATCGGATATATTCTGTAGACAGATTTATAGTTAGCTCATCCCTACAAATCATTTTTACTCGTGAGTACTCACCTTAATGTTATTCAAGTTCAGGTCAACTAGCTTGTTATCATCGTCCTTGACGCGCTTAATTGACTCCTCCACATCTGTGCTGTTGGGCGGATCCATGGGGAACAACTTCTGTTGTGTGGACTTTGTAATACCATCCCAGCCCAAGCCAACCGGCTGTCCCTTGTTCAGTAGCGAGGCGTGGTACTGATCCTGATTCATCATCGAGTGGAAGCCAAGAATGGCAGCCAAATCGATAATTTCCTCCTGCGTGGCATCACTTAGAGCATGCTCATACTCCTCGCCCATGTCAATGGCGATCTGTTCCTCCGCCTCAATATCACGCGCATCCCGTGGTGGTGGCACCCACTTCTTGCCGCGCACCTTGCCCTGCACATAGGGCTCAAACTCCGGCTGATCGGGCGTCTCGATTGCCTGCTTGTTAATATGCTCGATGAGCTGTTTGCGATTCAGCGGCCCGGTAGCATCCTTGGTACACTCGTAGCTGCAGCGCTGATCTGGTGGCAGGAAGTTGTCCTACAAAGACAGAAGTAAGTTAAATTGAAGATATGCGAATTCGAATCTAAGCCTTTGCTTACATCAGGATCAACCTCTTTGGCCAGTATGGTTATCTCCTCGGGCGACAGTTGCGCCAATAGACTCTCCACATCCACATCATCGTATTCGCTTAAATCCTTGCCATATAGTTTGGCCGGCGTAGTAAGCGTTGTTGTCTTTGTGGTGGACGAAGTCTGCAAATGTAAAATATAATTAGGAAATTAGCAAATTTGGAACACTCATATAAACGTTAAGTTCACACATTCTTGAGCAGCTTTAAGGTAGCTGGAGGCTGTGGGGCACGGCGCTTAATTCTAGACACGGGACGTAGTTTGATCTTCTGAAACTCAGCCACAGGCGCACTGCTCTCCATGGCGGGTTCAGCGTGTCATATGCCACTTATTGCAAATCAATAAATGGCGAGCCACAAAAAAATAAATAAAACTTAAAATAACACAATGGAAATCCAATTATGCAAGTATAAACTGGCAGCTCTGACGCTAACGCTGACGCTGACGCTTAATGTGGTTGGATGTGTCCGGGACTGGGGTTCAGCAACGACTGACGCGCACAATATACAAGAAACCAAATTAAGGTGCAACGCGGACTAAGACAGCAGCAACAAGAGTCGCAACAGCCGTGCAACATTTGCTTGACGCGCGGTTTGAGCCAAGAGCTGCAATCGCAACTGCCACTTAACCACTCAGCCACTCAGCCAGCCAGCGAGTCAGTGAGTCAGTGAGACTCACTGCAAGCTGGCGTAATCGACAGTCGGTGGCAATGTAAATTAGGCGTGTACATTTAAAGCTGCAGCGGGACCAGCGGGGCAACCAAGTGTGGCACGTTGTCTGCACTTAAATGACTTCTACTCTAAAACGATGCACCGAGCATGAAATTCAAGCTGAAAAATCCCCTGGCCCAAGCCTTGAAAAGGTTGAGGGACCATAAATAAACAAAAGTAAAGCAGGCAAAAGTTTGCTGCCCCAGCGATTGATTTGTTGTGGGAAAGTATTGCGCAGGTTTTTTCTTTGTCTGAGATTTATTTATCGCCAGCCTGGCATTAATGAGGCAATAGGAAATTAAAATAAAACGCAAAAGCATGGCCAAATAAATAAAGCAAGGCAATCGTGTAGCAGCTAACTTGGCCAATAGCTGATATAGGGACACGAAGTCAGCTAACTAAAAGACATGCAGCCAGAGGGCCAACAATTTACATAAAATAATTGTACAGCACGCTGAGTGAGCTCAAAGTTCTATCAAAGCGTGACCCAAACAAACAAACAAACCAACTGAACTGAACCGAACCGAACCCAAGTGAACCCGCCAACAACCAGCGGACAAAAGCCAAATCAAAAGACGCTTCCAAAACTGGTTTCAGAGGGCAGCAGAGACCAAGTGACGAGTGCGCCAGGAAGCGAGACTAACCACATAAACCACTTTTCGTACTTTGCTGCAACTTCAGTGCGCCATTTAAGTGAAACCGGTTTCGCTATAAAGAAAACAAGTAAGAGTGCTCTAGCCAAGGAGTCCACTCTTAAGAGATACTCTACACACAGTTACGACAAGTCTTTTAAACTCATATTTTATCAGCCAAAGGAACTGACAACGTGAACTTAATATTTTACAATAACTGGACAATGTGATTTCAATAATCTCCCTATCGAAATATCGGTATAGAAATCAGAAACACAGCAGAAATATGAAATGCCCAGCTAACATACTTCTAGATGCATTAAAAGTTATGCATATAGTGGCATGTTGGGCATATACATGAAGGGATGGAATAGAAGGTAAACTTGTTTTCGATATTAAGCATAAGAAACATAAATGTTACTTTTTTATGTGTTCCTTCTCATAGTCTATACAAACACACCTAACTTGATTGAAAGAAGTCGTTATTTGATAAAGAACTTATGTAAGATTTTGGGGGAAACACAGCTTCATTTCATTTCCACTATGTGGTATACCCTTTATATATATCCATCATTATTATAGGGTATAATAGTACCAACAACTCCACACAACAACTTTGAGTAGTTTTGCTCCCCACCTTCACCTCCTCTCGAGCTAGCAAAATGTGCTCGTAAATAGCCATGTTTAAATATAAGTATATATGTCCAAGTTGGCCAAAAGCTCTGCAGATGCTGCGTCCAGATACAGAGATACAAAGTACAGCTAAATGCTGTCGATTGACCCACTTTAAAGTGAGTGGCATGCATTGAAGCAGCAACAGGGCACAGATAGCAGTCGACGAGATATTCTGTCAGGCTGACTCTAACGGCAAACCGAGAACCGAAGCCCGCAGCGTGTTGACATTTCAATTGAGGGCAGACTTAGATTAATTGAAATAAACAGTTTTATTTCGAGGCTGGCACATCAATGACGCAGCGAATGCCACGAGCTGTGAATGGTTTTCAATTGTGGCGCCTCAACTGCGCCTTAACCTAACGCTTTAAACAAGTCGTACAGTCAGGTAGCAATCGCACTCGTATCTAATGCCACGTTTCACGCAGAGCTACAAATTCTCATTAAAAATGAAAATAATTGCAAAACTAATTGAGTTCATGGCACTCCCGAGACTCGGGCATTCAGATAGGAGGTGCTAATAATTTAAATCGAAAAAACAGGCACAGCAATTTGCAGTGAAAACGAGAAAAACAAATGCCAAGCTAAAGCGACAAAGTTTTTTTTACTTTATCTCAAACACTATGCAAATTGTTTGAGACTAGCAAAAGCAGTCAGATTTCTTTAGGTATTTAATTTATTTAATTTTACTGCAAGTTTCTCAATGATTTTTAAATTCTGTCTATCAACAATTAGTTTAATAAACTTCAAATTTGGTTCAAGTCGAACATGGGTATCCAAAAGTTCTGGTCTGCGAGGCAAGCTACCTTTCAGCACTTAGTAGCTGAACGAAGCACTATCTATTGCGGAACGGCAAACAGTTGTGGTGGGGCATGAAGATGCACCCACCATGCAAATGCACCGTAAACAGCATAAACAAGGTGGCGTAACGAGATACGTATATATTGTATCTGACAGATACGTTAGACCAAACAGCTGTCAACGTGTTATTCTGCCAATTCGCGAGTTAAGTTACGTACTTAGCGGATCGGTTTTAGCTCATTAATTGCAACGGGCTTCGAAACGGGAGCAGGCATTGAGACATGTTAAACCAGCTGCTGCCATCAAACTCCGACACACAAAATATGCGAATACCGAAAATCAAGACATGTCTAATGCTGTTTTCGGTGATTTGCACATTTGCGCGGCTGACAGATGAATGTGGTGGTGTTGGTGGTGCGAGTGGTGGCCAGTGACTGGTAAGTGGGTCAAGGTGCTTAGCTGATTTAATTAAGCGGCACCGACCGCTTGGGACTCGTTGTAGAGATCACGTTTTTCGAGCGGAAAATCCGCAACAAAAAAATCATGAAACGCAAAATGTTCATAAAAGTCCGCCTTTCCGCTTCGGGCTGCAGGTGAAAAGTTGGTCGGGTCGCAGCCGCCACTAATGACTAATGGCTGGAAATGTGCGAACACGCCCAAATACGGCCAAGTAGGAAGTGAGCTGTGCCGTTGAGGATGCGCGCCAGATGCTGCCCGAATACCAGGAAATTGTAGTACTTGAGCAAATCACGTTAGAAAATACCAAAAATCTTAATTATCTCGCAGCTCTGACGACCCGCTGCTTGCTTAGGTTTTATGGCCGGAAAGCATTTCTGCAAATTAGCATATAGGAAATTACAGGGGTAAGAGCAGCATGTGTGTGGAAATGGATTTTCATGGTTAAGATTAAGATTTGCATAGACACGGCTTCATCTATTTGGCACACACTCGTTTTGAAGTAAGCTGTTGCTTTGTGCAGGTGTAGAGATGTTCCCTCTTTTTCTCATTTCTACCTCAGAGTATATTCAATCTTTGGCTTGTAGCTGTGAGAGACTGTTGACAAATGCAGCTTGTGTGTTGGCAATGTTGAGAAACATTTTAGTGGTTTCCGAGCTGCATTTGGTATCTGCTTCTGGTCCCTAGCTCAGCTCTTTTCACTGTAACCACAAATCACATATTCAGTGAACAGCAATATGCTCTTATAGCTTGGCAATATTTTATGCAATTTGCATGCCAGCGATAAACTCAGAAGGAGTACTCTTTTGTTGCAGCTGACAGCAGACTGTGGCAAGCACCGCAACTCCCATAGCAAAGAGATAAGTAGACAGAAAATGAAAAAAATGTAGAACTTGGCCCTGGCACTGGCACTGGATGGAAAGTTGAGACCACATTGGTCATTCTAAAGCAGCGTTGAGTGTCGAGTCTCGAGAGTGCTGAAAACTGAGACCCGATAGTTCCGTTTCAGTGCACTCGCATCGGATGGTTTGCCGCCTGATTGGGCACGCACAACAACCACAGTTGAGATCTTGGCTAACAACAAAGGCCACTTGGCATTAGCATTGCCATTGCAACAAAGTGGCAAATTAACGACGGCCAAAAACATCTAACGACATTACGGACACTTGTGCATAGTGCCCCAGTCAAGAGAGTGGGCCACAACTTTCCTCGACTGCGGTTCGATTTGTGACAAAAACATTTGCACAGCTGTTGGCCAGGCAAAAACAAAAGCGAGACGTTAAAGAAATAAGATTTCGGCATAATGAATACTAAATACGCTTACCTATATCAGATGTGATAAATAATTACATAAATGATACCAGCATTTGACACAAGCCAACTCAAATGGAAAAGAAGTCAGCACGAAGATGCATATATTTACTTGAAAAAAAGGTAGTTTGAAGACGTGTTCCAGAACTCGCCTCATAGTTGGTATGCCATGCGATAGGGTATACAAAAAGAAAGAGTGAAATGTATTTGACGCCATTTATGGCTGTATATAGAGCCAAGTGCGTCGACTGTTTTTTCCTCCTTGGATGATATGGAGTTTAGCTCAAAATGAGAAACGTGCAGCGCATTTCATTTGTCGTGCCGCCAGATCATCAATAAAATGTCAAATAAGCAACAGCTTAGCCAGCAGCAGCAACAAAGCAGCATCCAAAATACTGTGGGCGCAACAAAGGTGGGGGCGTTGCTGCTGGCTGCGTCATGAAGTGCGCAAAATTTATGTAGTTTGCATTTTGCCATTGGATTTGAAGTCTGCAACTTTTGTCACGTCGCAGCATTTTTAGCATTCACGAAAAAAATGTGTTCAAATTTGTGAAACCGAAATGCCAGGGAATATCAACTTTGTTGAACAATGAGAAAAATAGCGCAGCACTTATTTAAAACAAAGACAAAACTTAATAACAGTTGGGAACGGCTGCGAAAGTGAAAGCTAATTCAGACAAAACTCTTTGTTGCTATATTTTTTTGTTTCTTAACTTTTTAGGCTTTCAAATGCAATGCAAATGAAAATTCATGTCTACACGAGTATGTAAATTGGCTGAGACCCGTTGGGCATACGCATCGTGCGGTCTTTGGCCTGTCCATAATTAAGCAGCTTGTTTATACTACATCGAATAGTTTAAACATTGGGGAAAAGCGAACGACGTGTCATTACGCGCATGCAAAGGCCTCGCACAGCCAGTGCCCGGCCAATGAACTCGGCCCATTCGTAGCCGTTGACTGGTTAGAACGACTCACAGCTAGGTTGACATTTGAAATTTCAAATGCAGCAGCTAGTTGCAATTAGAGTGGTTTCTGTTGCCAGTTGCGGGCAATTATGCAAATGCTAGCCGGCTACACAAGGGCCACATGCCACATGCCACATGCCACACAGTCTCTGTCGCTGCCCTCAAATTTGGTAACACTCTGTGTGCTTGTTTGTGGGCCAAGCAACCGCAGTTGCAGCTGCAGATGATGGCAATCGCCAACAAGACGACGATGTTGTAATCGAGTCTGATTTTTGCACAAAGATAGAAACAGAAACGTGGCGCTTGCATGCGACGCGATTAAAAACGCGCACAGCATAAATCGCGTGCCCATGCTGCATGATAGAGGAGGCTACGAGGGGGCGTGGCAGTTGCAACAGCAATGCTTCATAGCTCACTGTGGCAATCAGCTGAACATGTCCGGAAAAGCATTACACTTTGCCATTGCAGAAAGATGGGATTCTGCTTTGAAAGCAAACCCTTTGAAGCAACTTTTGGTTTCTCAAGAAAGCCCTAGAAATGTTCTCAGAAGTCTAGGAAAAAGTTAATTGCATTTTTTGATATGCAATGCAAAGCTCCTTTACACCCACAACATTTGTGAAATATGGATGGATCACGAACTGAATACGTCGTTAGCTGACGCTACTGTGGAAAATGTCACATTTATTGAACAACTGCAATTTAACTAATGATATTTTAATAATTCAGTATTGAAACTTGACAATTTCAACTATTCATGGTTGATTGTACTAAATCAATTAGTAACACATAAATTCACGATTTACACAGTTCGCTAATGCTCGAACATTGAATTGAACACTGTTGTTACCTTATTGTTATTTTTAGATCTGACACATTAATAGATAAATGCCTTTAATAGATTACGACCAACTTGTTCAATTTGATATTAGTGTTGATGTTGATCACACAATCTGCGATTTTCCGATGGAACTTACCTGTAATGAGAGGAAAAAACAAAAGAAACTTTTAGTTAAACGAACTATAAAGAAAGTTAATAATGCTTATGTGTAGCATATGTGTGTGTGCCTTGATATGCATAAATGTGTTAGTAACGAGCATAACTTTTGAGAGGCAGCGCAGCTGAAAACTTTCTCATGTTCCCCGGTGTTCAGTTGATGGGCGAACAGAGCAGGAGCTGTGCAGGTAATTACACGAAAGCCATACCCAAATTATGTAAAAGATTAAATTTGTAAGATAAATTGGAGCAGACCCCAAACCAAAGAGCAGACCGGAAAATGCAGCTCTGCCGCCAGTCAGCCACCCAGACACCCAGCCAGTCAGACACTTGGCTGGGAATAAAAAAAACCGCTTTATGTGGCAGATTTCATGGCTGGAGATAAAAATGGTTGCGGTAATAAATGAGAATTATGCAAAGTTTGAGCGAATGATGAAGTAAGTAATGCCCAACCAAGCCAAATACGGTTAACGGAGCGTGTTATAAGACGCAGCCGAAATCGGCTCAGAGGCTTCCAGATGAGTAAGTGGAAATTTATGAAAATAAGCATAAAGCCAGCTACATTTTCAAGCAATGAGAAAAAGAATACCCGACAAGCTGCTTTTTATGGAATTTCCACTGGAGCCAACTCCCTGAAGTTTCGTGCCCCAAAACAAAGTGGAAGAAGAAAAGACACTTTAGGCTTTTGTCTGAGCTGTTTTTCTTCCTCTTGACAATGCTGTTAACAGCCAAATTTAAGTGACTAACAACTTGTTCAAAGTTCAGCTGACAGTTTGAGACAGCAGGCAAAAGAAAATGCTGCAACGATTTAATCGTCTCAACATTAGCCAACGATTTTCAACATTTTCATTCAAGTCTAAGGCATGTTGCACAGGTGCGGAGTGGACTTGAAATTTGATTAGCATCTATACACGCATTAATGCTGGCTTAGATTTTATCAATGATGATTTCATTGCTGGCTTATATCTAATAGGCTGAGCAAACAACTTTCAGGTTTCACAGTTAATATAAACGCATCAGCTGAGTTTTCTAAATTATTGACAATAAGCTTACGTTAGATATAGACACTGGTTCTAATTTCTGTATAAATAATACAAATATCTGAAAGTCGCTAAAGTTCTTAGCAAGCTTTAAAATATATATAAAATACGAGCAGATTTCTTATTTTGACCATCAGAAAACTATTTTGTTGATCTAATTTAACATTTATAAAAAATAAAATATATCTGCAAGCAAAAATTGATATGTACTCGTTCCAATATTCATGTGATGGGTCGTATAATCCGCAGTGTCTGCTCATCATCATTTTAATCTACGGAACACTGAAACGCACTCGATGGGCAAACTAGTTCTATTTTGTCTGCTGTTTGTTGTTCGACAATTTTTCGTGTGCGCAACGTCAATTAAATGCCGGAAATGGCCAATTTCAATGTTGGCCGACTGTCGTTGTATTTTTTCTTTTTGCCCCTGTTTCGAGGGGCTTTTCATGTTTGGCTTTGATGGCCGTCAAATGGTAAAATAGAAACAAAGACGATTAATTACTTAGCTCACAGAAGACATTTAATGCGCTTTGTCGCCTCTGCGTGGGCGTCCAAATGCGCATCTGGCAAAGGGTTTAATTGTGGGACAAAAATCGCAGTTTAATCATTAAAGCAGTGGATGAGACAGGTCCAAGCAAAGTAATTAGTAGCAATAAAAAATTAAAAAAAAAAACGCTTGTAGCTAATTCTTTATTTGTTGGGAAAGGTATTTAATCAACATAAAGGCCTTACTCATGGCGATTATCTTTCTTTATATACTCAAGAGCTATAAACGAGTTAGCGAGTGGATGACGAGTTAATCAATATTCATATTTATATGTTATATCTCCAACTGGGTAAACTATTTACGTCTACGTCATAAATGTGGGTGATTAATTCTCAAGTATGATAAGCAGGCAGCAGCAGAACAATAAACAACGGTTAATTATATTATATAAAACTGATAATTTTAATTATACATTTGTATAATAAGGTGTATAATAAGGTTGCCACATCGCGAACAAAAGGAAAAAGAAAGCAGCTTCGTGGTGATATAATAACACGATTTATTTTATAGCCGGTGATGGGAATCTATAATTAATACCAATATAGGGTTAGATGTGTTCGACCTGTGGCGAACCCTGTGAGTGAGCGTAGCAGTAACAACGATTGGGGAGAACGCTTTAGCAAATGTCAAGAGCGCAAACTCCAGAGCTCGAATATGAGAACGTGAGAGCGCGGGAGATGGAGAGGGAGAGTATGTGCGAGAGCACGCACTGACGTAATCGTTATCGTTGGCCGCCTCGCTCACACACCGCCTTTAATTGAGCACGGAGTGAGCGGGGTGAAAGGGAATGTCATAATTTTGTTGTTGCCGAATAATAAATGAAACGAAATGAAATCATTCAAGGAAAACATCAACTATCAATGAAAAATCCATTTAAACTGGCAAATACAAAACGCTATTGTCATATAGCTCCGACAAACCAGAACAATAATAATACTACTAACCTCCATTGCGTTTATTTCAGCTTGTTTTTATGTGTTTCTTACAGCTGTCAAGGTCTCGTAGCCGTACAATTTCTAGTAAAGATCGTTTTTATTGCACTTTTTTAGTCGTCACACGCACCACGGTTAACTAGTGTTTTTTCTTTTTGTTTCTTGGGCGTGACACACACAAAACGAATCGAAATCCGCTGTGGCCTACAAAATATTTGTGTTTGTTGTCTTCTTTTTTTTTTGCTCTCTGAAAAACCCGAGTTCAGCACAAGTAGAACACGCAGCGTTACAATGCGATACAGTTAACAATATGCAGCCCGCACAATTGTTTATTGTAAATACGTTACTAACAGCGCGAAATGGCAGGCGGCGACGACGAAGTTTGAGAGAACAGTAACAAACAAGGCGTAACAAACCAGGTTTAATTTAACTACTGAGCAGCGATTGCTTATATCGAAAATAATAATCGAAAAACTGGAGTTGCCAGACTACATCATTGTGGCAGATTAAGATGGAACTGCCAACTTGTTGGGCTGGACTGAGCGCAGTTTGGAGGCCACTATGGCCTGATGCGCGCCAAAGTTTGAGTCGCACTGGAAATTTAAAATCAAATGTTTTAGCTGTAAAAACACTATAGAGCTGACACATCAAAAATGAATTTATAAACTACGAAGCTTTTCAAAGTGCTTTCACTTTTATTAAGAGCTATTTTAAAGACCACTTAGTGAGCACTCATAAAATTATATAATATTCCACGCCCACATACACACCACACATTTACAACCCTCTTCCGCTGTGAGACAAGTCGGGAGCATAAATCAAAAAGTTTCTGTCGCAATTTTTCACATCAAATTAATCTTTATCTACAATGTTTTGTATGTAATTTTTTCAACGTTTTTGCATTGCGTCTAATTAATTAGGGTAAAATGTTACGCAAAAGGAGAATAAAGGGCAAGCGAATGCCAAAAGCCGTCTGGCATTTTCATTGCATACTCCCCGGCAGAGGCAAATAGAAGATGTCATAAAAATGCCATTGTAAGTAGTTGAACTGAAGTCTTTTGCATTGTTGTCATTGTTACCGTTAGCTTCTGTTATTATTGTCTGCTTGTTGTATCTGTTTGCTGTTATTGCAGGCAAATCGACAAAGACACGCAAAGGCATAGGCGAGACAGAGGCGGAGGCGTAGCCAGCGCCAAACTCATTTCACTTGCGTCGAAAAGATAAATGTGAAGCGCTTAAAAAAGCAATTACCGCATAAATTGCGCCTCGACGCTGCTGCCTCAACTACTACAAACAAGCAGCCAGGCAGAGGATGCGACGCATAAAACTTGCTACAAAGGACTCTCAAGTTCGTTGGAGAAAAAAGTAAATGAAAGCCAAACAACAAATGTTCGTACATGCGAGCACATCCTGCCTGTAAGACATTTCGCAAACAAATGCGCAAAACACGCGAAAACATGCAAAATGCAGTGCATACACAACAGCCACTACCCAAGCCGTCGAACGAATCTGAGACGAGACCAGACTAGGCCAGACCAGACCAGACCAGGCCCGACTTAATTGTAAAATCAATAGTGGGAGTGATGGGCGCGTAAATCAAGTTAAAAGTCGCAGCAATCAAAACACCCGCAGCGCAATAAAAACTCATTAAATGGCCGCCGGGAGATTGTAGTGTATGCCAATTGGGTACGCCAGGTGCGCGACCAGAGTTCCAATTGGATTTAAGCAAATTGTGTGGGACACATCGATTTCTCATTAGATTGGACGCGGCCTGATGATATTTCGCATGGCTGTTCAAATCACTTAAACAAAAATTTAATTGACTTGACGACGGCTGTACACGTAGCTGTCAAAGGGAAACGGAGCGCACAACACGAAACGGAAGCCAGGCCGATGACGACGACGACGGCGACGAAGGACGAGCCGGCTAGAGCTTTAGTGATGGCGCCAGCTGCCAGTCTGCCAGTCTGCGTGGCCTACTGCCAATTTGTAGCCGTGTGGAGCGGAAATTTCTTCAACTTCCTGATTTAAATAATAGCAAACTGCCAGCCAGCCCCGTCACCCCACGCCGCTTTCAAACTTGTCGCACCAACTGACGGCAGAAACAGCAACATCAACAACAGCAGCGACATAAACAGGCAGTGGCAAGTTGATTACCATCAGCAGGCGCCGTGTGTTGTGCCATGCGTCAAAGTATCAGCTACAATATTTATTTTCCTTTTTTTTTGGTCACTCAGCGAGTCGCGTTTGCGGCTAAGCTCAGCGTCAATATTATGCGGACGAATTTAAAATATTTGCATTATGATGTGACAACACAGTTGATAAACCATTATGTGTGTGTCCGTTTGAGCGTGAAGCAACAACATTTTCTGCACTTGCTACAAGTTGGACAACAATTTCCGCATGCAAGCGCCATTGACACACAAGCAAATGGCAAAATTTTGAAAAAGTCGACAAAAACGGCCGACGCAGTGCAGCGCCGAACGAGCCGAGACGAATGCGCAGCCGAAGCAACAGTCACAGCAGCAGCAGCAGCTACGGCGGCAACAGCACCAACAGCGGTAGCAGGACTATAAGACAGGAGCTTAGTCCACGCACAAGCTGAGTCGCGTCGGCAACGTTGAGGCAGACGCAACGGTTCGCATTATCGCATATTACGCATACGCCACAAGTGCCGCAGAAACAGTTGCCGCATATCGAACATAAAACCAAACACCGCAAGTCTTGTTAGTCGAAATTCTTGTCCATTTTTACGGTTCGCAGTGAAACGCAGTCGAGCGCATAATTCGTACAGGCCACAGATAGACCAACTGCTGCCCATAAAAGTGCGTGCCAGCATTATTATAATATTTAGACAGCCGCACCGACCACAATTGCACAAAAAGAGGCAAACGGGCTACGCTAAGCTAACCATGAGGCGTTCACGTACAACGGTGCGTATGAATGAAAATGCGCGCCATGAATTAATACGAGTTGCGAGTTGCGAGTCAAGTTGTAATGAGTTGGATCTCGTTTTTTGCTCTTGGGTTATGGCAGGACGACTGCTGCTGCCGCTGCTGGACGTCTGTCAGAGATTTATGCTTATGCCGCGAGTTTGGCTGTGCCTTTGTTGCTTTAATTATGTTTATGTATGTGTTTATTTTAGATGTGCTTGTGTGAGTGGGCAAATTAAGTAAGCGAAGCACGCAATTGCCAGCCAGTGTTTCCTGCAATGCAAATAGAACCAAACAAAAAGGGCAAAAAAAAAACAGAGAGAGCCAACGGGGCTGGCAATAAATTGGCAGGATATGTCAAATTTAGCTGTCAACGCTGCAGGATATTAAGCGTTTCATTGACTTTTGTGCTCACTCAATTTTCGGGCATCGCAACATTTAACTTTCATTTGCATGGGCCACAATTGATGGCCTCAACAACTTCGACTGGCCAAAAAATAATTTGTTAATAGAGTCGCAACAACTTCTGCTTGGCAGCTCCCAATCGCTCACATTTGAAGCGGCTCAGCTGCGTGTTATTTTCACTTTTGACCCTTTTTCATATGCCTAACATATGTGTGTGCGTGTGTCTATGGGTGTGTGTGCGTGGGTGTCTGCATTATTGCTGTTAAAGCCCGGGCTTTGACATCTAATTTATGAATGTTTTTAGCAGCCCAGACACGGAGTCAGGCTGTTCTTATGACACGCTCTATTTGCTTTCGGCCTTTATATACTTTGCTCTTTTTTCCGTTTTATGTTATTGTAATGTTTACTTATTTTTTGTTAAATAAACCATCGGACTTTCGGGCATAATTCGCCGGCATCAGCTGCACGCTTTTTGGGTCCTTGAGCCTTCTTTTTTTTGGCTATTGCAACTTGAGCAAAAGTTGAGGTCTTGTAAAATATGTTGCCGAAAAACTTTTTTAATGAGTTTTCATAATCTTGACTGCGCTTTATTTTAATGCGCCGAACCTTTTACACTTGCTTCTAATGATGCCTGAGCCCCTCGGCCCGGCCGAGGCCTTTTGTTCTTGTCAGCAGCAACTGCAGCACGCGCGATAAGCGTTTAATTGAAAGCTGCTCAGCCGAGCGCTTGATTGAATTTCTATATAGAAAAGCACGAACTAGGAATTTGTATAGTGGTATAGTGCTCGGGTAGCGGTAGGTGGTGGTGGTGCTGCTGCACCACAGTTGCCACAGTAAGCGCATGGCTGATAGCTGATATCCACATGGACTGGCCCATGTGCCCTTTGCTTGTTCGTCCATTTAGCGCATACGCTAAAATACATTTCAAAGAACTCGTAGATGTTTTTTCTTTGCTTTAATTTGAATGCAGTGCAGCGATTTTTACAGCCCTTTTCATTACAGCCCGTTTAACTTAGGCCCCTGACCCGTGGACTCTGTTCGCTTGTCCTTTAATAGTTTCGCATTGCACTTGGAATATCCAAAGGGCGTTTAATTGCAAACGCATTTTGCTGCACTTGTCGTTTTAATTTATTTCAAATAAAATTCAGGTTTATCAAAGGTAGAAACTATTAATTAGTTTTGCAATTTAATTTCACACAGTCATATTGTCTGTAGCAGTGTTAGGAAATATGTCTTCTATTCAACTTTAACTTTTAATTATTTAAAACAGTTGAGAAATTAAATTGCAGGAATCTAAATAAAATTATTTAAATTATTTATGTAAAATAAAATGTCTTCTAAATTCTTTTTTTTATTATTTAATTAATGAAGGTAATGCTGTTTTATAAATAAATATTAAAAATTATAAAAAAAATTATATATAAATTATAATAACTATTTGTCACTATTGGTGACTAACTATTAATAACTATTGTATTAGTAACAAAAAACGCTATGCAAATTGATAAGGTTACGTTTAATCGTTACAGAAGAATTGGATAAGTGTGACCATGTATCTTAAATACAAAAGTACTAAAAGATCGCTATAATTTTATCAAATTATTATTTTTGCTGGCCATTCCATGAATGAGTTGGAATAGCTATTGACTAATATTTTTTACGATTACATGGTTCTAAGATATGTAAAGATTCATTTATTATACAGCTAGCTTCTGACGTTTTTGTTTACTAGATGAGGATATTTGCAGAACTACTCCGTTTTTGTAAAGAACTAATATGATTATTGATCGAGTTATTTTCAATTTTTTTGCCAATTTGTTCATTTTTTTTCATTATCAATTGCTGAAATTATGCACACTTTTATTTGACATTTCTACAAATCGATTTAACACTTCGTAAGAAATCATTAGTCTAAGTGCAAACAATCAGAAAAACGCAAAATTCAACTTGTATAGCGACTGAAGGGCGGCATAACTGTCCGAAACACCTAACAGTATTTTAACTGACAACAAATTTGGTTTTGCATTACGAATTGCGAGAGGTTTCGAAATTTAATTACAATTATGTGGGGTAAAATATTATTTGCGTGAAAAAAATGTAACGAATTAACGAGAGGTCCAACATCTGTAGAATTTGTACGAATTTAACCATATTTTTCAAGGGAACAGCCGTTTTTATGAGGTTTTATTGAGATTTTCGACTTAGCCAGGGACAAATTGCGGATCAACTTTAAAATATATTCAATATTTGCTTATTTGCTTTTGTAAAATCACAAGTGATAAATAAATATATACAAATAATGTAAAAATCAAACAGAATCTTAAATTTTGAATTTATCGTTCATTTGGCAGGAAGTGTCCTTGATTGACACCATCATTCAATCAAAATAACGTTTTAATATTTACACAGGTTTCGAATTTTATGAATTTCAATAAAAACTGTCTTGTGCGTCACAGACCGGAATATTCATTTTAATCATATTAATATGAAAAATGCAATTTTTGCGCAGAATACAAATTGTCGTTTTACTCTCACGTTCAGTTGTGCCAACAATTTCATTAAAAAATAGTAAGCAATGGCTTTTGAGTTGAATGCATTTTTTCGCTCGAAGTCCTCTTGCCGCAATTCGTATGTGTATTCAATTTCGTTTGTATACATTTTCATTATGATTTTCATGCGTTCTGATGCATTTGCATGTGTGCTTTCATACCCATTGTTGGCGCAGCAACAATGCTCCAGCCAACGGCTTTCTCTGCTCCCATCTCGCTGGCCCATTTAGCTGGCTGAAGCAGAAGAAACTTTTTGCTGCGCATTGAGAAACATATTGAGCAACATGCAGCACAAATGCGACTATAAATGCGGCTTCAGCTGGCAGGCAACATGAAACGCAATTATGCAACATGTGTGCGCGGCTGCATGTCAGAAATCTTTGCCATGCTGATGATTTTTTCTTGCCAGCTGTCTTGGCCGCTTGCGATGTGTATGTAAATTCCCCCACGGTATAGCCTGACAGTTAACGCGGCGGCAGCATATACGTATAACTTTCTGAGTGCAGCCATCATGGGGTGGGTAACTGTTGAAGTTGTGGGCTAGAGACCCGTGTGTATAAGTGTGTGCGTGTGAAAGATTTTTCTTTGCAGACGGACAAACATTGTGAATGCCGTCTCTAGTGTATGAAACTCTGACTTATGTACATATACATACTAATATTTCAGCTTTCTCCGTATCTTGACTTGCAGCTGCTGCCCTGGGAACGGGCGTCATGCACGGCAATGAGGCAATGAGGCAATGAGACGACCAGGTACACCACCACCACCATCACCAGTATCAGCAAGCCCACAACTAAAGCCACAACCACAGCAAGCAACGCAGCCAACCAGCGGGCAGATGCAATCTGAAGAGTTCGTTTCTTGGCTGAGTGCCGCCTAGCTCTCTAACTACACAGAGACCACACAGCCGCTAGACGCAGCTAAGGAGACCAACAAGCTCAGTAGCTCAGTAGCTCAACAGTCGCAGGAGAGACGGATACAGGGCGCACAGGCTGTGATATTACTTAGAACCACAGAGCGAGTGCTTGGGGCCCGCCATGTTGCGAGATATCTTTCTATATTTAGTTCTAATCGTTTTATTTTGCTTTATATTCATGGCGCAGTTAATCGTCAACGTTTACGCATTCCAGCGCCAGCCAACGCCCGCCCAGAGGGCCGAGCGCAATGAGATTATATTTGTCTAGGGTTCCTGGGGGCCACAAGTCAAGCATTGCCAGTTGGCATTTAATGAGCGCCACACTCACAAAAAAATCTTAAAGCTAAAACTCAAAGAAAACGCATTTGACAGTCTGTTGGCAGCTGGCTGCTGGCTGTTGCCCGTTCTCTGTTCCGGAGATAATACCCCGGCAGGAGCTGATTAACTGGGTTGCGCGCTAATTAGTAACGGTAGTCTTGGGAGCGCTGTCACGAATGCACAATACACTCCAGCACAATGAAACTTTGCGACACAATAAGTCGGAGTGAAGCAGCGCTAGAAGTGAGCATCGCGCGGGCAAAGTTCATGCTGTCGACGTCGCTGCATTGAAACAAAAAGACAAACAATGAAATGAAGAGAAATGTATTCGCAGTGCACTTTGCATTCAGTTCAGTTCAGTTCATTTCGCTGTGCTCGTTATGCCATCTAAAGAATATCTGATAATACAATAATAATTAATTTAAGCGATTGCTTTAAGCAGTTTTTGTTGCCTACTTTTAGAGCGCGACCCGACCGAATGCAGCGGCAATGAGCCGTCTGAAATGCATTGGGGCGTGGCAAATGGCTTTAGTTCGTATTGATTTCCAGCTCACACACTCGGCTCCCTTCGTCATGTTTTAGTGCTTTACTCTTGTTACTTTTTTCGTTCTCTTTTTTTGGGCATGGCGCACAGTTTATTGTTTTCTTTTGGCCGCTAGAGCCGAGCTGTTCATGCCGCCTTGAGCACTTGAGCACCATATACACACTTGACCCCATTTGCTGGAAAACATTACAATAGGCTTGCCCACTGGGCGAATATGGGGCTAGGGGCCTTGACTAGGCAAACATTTAAATTGACATGCCCAAGGCTCGGCGAAGGGTATCGTTTCAAAAACTTTCAAAATGTTGCCAAATTTTTCTAATACTTAACAGCCCGCTTCTGGGAGTGTGTGGCGCTTGTGCCTAATTGATTGCTGTCTGTTTGACCAAATGGAAATTAAAGTTTCATCTGTTTTCCAAGGAATTTATATTTTAATATGAGCACACGCAAACTTCTCAAAAACTTTTCAATTAAATTTAATTACTTTTTCAGATTGTTGGCCAAGCCAAGTGCAACATAACTGAATTTCTTTTTGAAGAATCTCAAAGGGTTTTCATTTAATTTACATAGCTGAGAGGATTTGGAGTTCGTATTCATATCTGCAGAACATTTCCAATGATATTACTGCATAATCAAACCCGTATTAATCGAGCTAACAAAAATGAATTAGAATCGGACATTTTTAATGAATTGTATTCAATTAATATTACATAACGCATACATTCGAACAATAATAGTTTTAGCTATCGTATATACAACTTATAGTATCTATAAATGGAATAATTCTAGTAAATAGGGCTAAACGAAAGACATGTGACACGATTTACTGTATGTGTAGTTAGTGCTGAACAAGGAAAATCAAATTATTTAAACGAATATCGAATAATATCGAATTACATATGAATCAAATAAATGTTAAACAATTCAATAAAAACTACAAAACTGTTTCAATGGCTCACAAATTAAAAGTATTCAGATACCGTCTGGGTTTTTAACAGTATCTATTATGCAATACATTTCCCAACAACTTGTATTCCTTTTAATTTGGCTTATTGCATGGTCTCAAGTTGGGTCAACATAAATTCGAGAGATGCCTTTTTAAGTGTTTGCAACTTCAACATCAGCCGCAGTGATGCAAAATGCATCACAAAATTCATAAAATGAATCTACTTTGTGCCATGCAAACAATTTATGCAGTGGTAAAATAAAAAAAAGACGAATGCAAGTAAGAGTGCTTTAGCTGTCAGTCCCGACTCGAAGATACCCTAAATTTATACAGGAAGTGTCGCACCTATAATAAGTGTCATTATCTATGAGCAGCTTTACTCTAAATTCATTATATCAAGATTTTATAAGCTGACAGTAATCAATCATATATATATGTATATGTATAAATATATATAGATATATATGAATTTAAGTCAACTCGAAATATATATACAATTCATAAATTACATAAGGAGCTGTGTGCTTCTCTGCTCCAGCAACATTAGTCCCTTTTTATGCACTCTCAACGTGTCAGGTGTATAGAAATGGGTTAGTTCAAAGTGCAGACATACTGCATTTATTTACTTGCAATAGATTCAGGAAAAATTAAGTTGCTAAAATCATGAAAGCTACGAAGAACTCAACTGCTATAAAAAGCAATTGAAATATTATAAAATGTCAGAGTTGATGTCAAGTTTCAGGAAATTTATATTCTAGAATTCCCAGAAGAACGCTTTAAAAGCCTTGTCATATTGTCAGCCCAATTGCTGAATATTTTGTGGTTCTTTGGCCCAACCGCCAATAGCCTCGTTACAAAAGATCTCGATGCACTTTTCAATCATTTCTCGGTCATTCCATAAATACCATTGGTCGTCGCATTATTTGCGCCTTGCATTTAAAATGAAGTGTTAAAGGCCAGTCAAGGCCTTTAACCGCAACAGCAGCAGCAACTGCGGCAGCAGCAATTCAGTAAATTTTCCATTTAGCAGTTGTGGGACAAGCGGTCTTAAATTGAGCACAACAAGCGTACGAGCCTCAGTCCGACGCCTTTGTGTCACAGACAGAGCATGGTCCGTGCTAAAAATCCAACCGTTGTGGTAACTTTTGGCATTGGGCCAAATGCAAAGAAAACTGTGCAACAAGCGAGCTGTCGTCCGGCCACACTCAGCCGCTACCCCCAACCCTTTCGCTGTGCCTCGAACACAACTTGGACCATGTCTTGCTTTGTTTTTATTGTACCAAGCTGTCTGAGCTTTAAAAGTACAACGCCATGGCGAACAATCTTAACAACACCAGCAGCAGTAGCAGCAGCAGCAGCAGCAACAATCGCTGTAATGCCGCCAAATGGCTTTTTGTTATTGTTTTGCACATTTTGTGTTTATTGCATCGAGTTAAACTGCACGGCCAAAGGCGCTGCAAGGCGGCAAGGCGGCAAGTCGCATCGATTCCGTAGCTTTACCAAATTTGGTCAAGACGTGAACGCCGCAATATTTATATATATATAAATGTATATAGAGCGCTGCCTTAGTATGTGTATTTGGCTCTGCGTATGTATTTGTGTATGTGCGTGCAATTGAAAATCGCTTAAAATGCCTGACAGTCAATTGTTCACTGCCAAAGCAGCTGTAAATGAGTGAAGAGTACTGAAAGCAAACTAATTATCAGTATACTATATATAGGAAAGCCACATATACAACATATATACACACATATATATAATACAAATGAATTTCTGATATTTATTTGCGCTCGTTGATTTTGTGACATTTTCACTTTGATCTGTGACGGGCGGCTCTTCGAGCAAGTTCTTTGCCAAAGTCACGTCCTTGTTGTTTTGCGCACAATTGAAACCATCCCGAAAATCATAACTAATTAGACGTAAATTAATGAGAGAGAGAGCGAGCAAAAGGCATCGCACAGCTGACGAAAATGTGACAAAACAATTTGGCAGCTCGGACAGCAACTCGGGCAACTGAGCAGCAGCATTAGCCTCACAAATTTTGATTTAATGCACAAGGCTGTCGACGGCATCAGTGCTGTTGCTGACAGGCGAAAGTGTCAAAAGTAGCGCTATCGCGAATAGCCTTCGAAGATGCAATAGACCTTTTGCCTTTTGCACAACTAGCAGCAGCAACTCAAGTAAACAACGAACATGCCACAAAGAAGAAGGCAAATCATGTTGTTTATTTTCTATGCTAGTCAAGTTTTCGGCTACTGCTCTTCGGCACACTCTTAGCGCACACTCTTAAGAGCAAGAGCACCATGTTCCAGAGCGCCACTCACCAATACTAGTACACATACGCATACCACTACAACTACCCATACAAATGATCGGGCGCGTCACACGGCGTATGCGCAATTCGCGTTGGCTCTGTGCCAACGCGCTATACTTGGAGATCAACGGAAAAATTGCTGATTTTTTGCCAGAAATTATTTATAACTGCTTGTTCATACACAAGCACACACACACACCACATGTGTGTGAGTGTGCGCTGCGTGTTGTATTTTCGATCCATTTGCTCTCTTCAATGGTCGTTAACTTGACAAGTAAATTAAGAAAAAAAAAAACAAATACGAATATTTACAACAAAGAGCAAATTATGTTGGAACAAAGAGCATACAGCACGTTGTTGTTGACGATGAAATTCAGCAGAAATATAGCCAATTACTTACTACGAATTCATTTAGATCCAGAGGGTGTTTACTTATCAATTGGCGTTGCTTACCTAAATGAATAAAAGAGAAGAGAGAGAGAGAGAGAGAGAGAGAGAGAGAGAGAGAAAAGAAACGTTAGAAATTAATTTGAAAAATATCTATATATTATGCTATATATTCTACATATACATATAACTGTATATATACCTTGATCATTCAAAGTTTAATTATTTGATTTATTGCTAAATAAAATATCGAAGATATATAATAAGCGTGATTCACATATCGAATCGCTGTATAATACATATAGAGAAAAGTGGAATTAAGTACTCAAGTGGTAAAAATACATTCAACATTTTGTAAGACCTAATCCGATGGCCTTAAAGGCTCTAAATGTAATTATTCAGTGACAGAGTATTTGCGATTTGACACATCCTAGCTGCGCTGATCCATTCTATGGGGAAATTATTTTCTTAAAATATTCTGCTTCTGTCTAAGATATTTTCACACTGAAAGCAATAAACGATTTGCTTAATTTTAAATTTTGTCTTGTAAAAATAGACATTTAAAATGGCATAAAATGCAATTATAAATTTAAGAAATTTATTTTCTAATAAAATATAATTTAAAATAAAAATTAAAGTCTGACTTTCTCAGTAATATAAAAGAATTCACTGAATTATAGTTATATTTATTTTCAATATTATATAATTGAAATGAAAAAATCTTTACACATCAACGGAAAATGTATTTGGGAACATCTTGGATATGGCCAAGTTAACCACGCCTCATTGCCACAATTCACATCAGCTGGCACCCAATTCTCAAGCAAAGGCCAAAAAGCTTCAAATCAATTAGCCTTTTGCTGAACCCTGGGCCCCGAGGCATGCCGCTCGTGCCCATTGAGCAGCCTTTTGCAACTTAATTGTGCAAAATGAGTGGCATTGCCACGCCTCTTACGCTCTGCTCGTGTACCACTTGAGGGCAGCGAATATTTTATGCGAGTCAGCCAAATAAAACAAATGTTGAGGTTTTAACTTTTTCGTCGGCCTTGGCATGTGGCATGTGAAAAATACAATGCTTAATTAATGTACCTATCTGTGTGTGTGTATCTGTGTGAGTATGTGTTAGACACGAAAAAAGTAAAAGGAGCAGACGCGTCAGTTTTAATTAAAAGATAAAATTGCCTAGTTTAACACACATTAAATTAGAGTAACAGAGACTGAAACATAGGGCGCGAGAGAGAGAGAGAGACAGACAGTGAGGGAGAAATAACGAGTCTCAAATCTCATGAAATAATAAAAGTGGCAATGAAATTAACAAAAAAAAGAAATGAATACAGCTAAAAGTCAGAATTTGAGCTCAAGTAGTCGCACATAGAACGAACAACACAATAGCAAAGGCAGGAGAATGGAAAGTTAGCAAAAAAAGGGAAAAAAATAAAGGCGGAACGGGAAATGGGGCGCCGGTGCGGAAACTCTGCACTCTGATAGCCTTTGTAGCCACCTTGATTGCTGGCATGAAAAATCCTATGCGAAAACTGAACTACCTGGCAGTTGTTCAGGCCAGGAACGTCAATGCTTTCGCTCTGGCTTCATTTGAAGCCAGCGCCAAAATGCCACCGGGCAAATCCAAACGTCGGGTTAACAAGTGTGCCCCAGCAGCAACAACAACAATAAAAGCCAGTAATGATGCACATGGTAAAGGGAGAGCTGGAGATAAGTGTGGGCGAGGAGCGTTTAAGGGCAGGTAATGCCAACTGGCAGCTGTAGCTTTTATATATATAAATACACACACATATATATGTGTATACATGTGTGTGTGTTGGTGCTTTAACGTAATGCATGCCACTGTGTTGGTATATTAAGTGAAATGAAATCCTGTTAAGAGAAACAATGAAGCTATTAAAAAATACATCTCTCTGAGTGTGTGCGTGCGTGTGTGTGGGTGTGTGGGTGTGTGTACTCTCACGTACGTATATAAGCAATATCTGCTGGTAAACCTCATAATAACGTTTAATAAATACTTTACAGCTTGATTGATTGCAGGTGCGCCCGCCAGCGACAGGTGAGTACGGCTTAAGGATGCTTAAGTAGCTGTTGCTGTTGCTGTTGCTGTCTCTCCTGCCGCTGCTGCTGTTAGTCGAAGTAATTTATGCGCCCAGAAACTCGTTGTCGTCGTATGGCAGCCACAGCAGATTGGGTCCC